TACGATTCCTACCACGGAAATGCCTGAAATTCGCTCGACTACCTTGATTTCCATCACTAGCAAAACACACGATTTTTCCAAATTTCCGGAATTAAACAAATTTTCGACCTTGAATAAACTCAAACGTGTCTTTGCCTATATAATTAGATTTGTTGATAATGTCAAAGTTGAAAATTTCAGAAAAACTGGCCCTCTTTCCCTAGAAGAATTAAATGACTCAATTAAAAAATTAACTCGATTAGCACAATCTGAAATTTTTACTGTTGAAATAAACCAGTTAACTTCATTCGGTCATGAATACGGCATTATCAGAGTGGGTGGAAGATTAAAACATTCTAATTTCGACCTCAATAAAAAACATCCTGCTGTTTTACCTAAATCGAACAGGCTTACGGTTTTGATCGCTCGTGACGAGCATGTAAAACGTCTTCACGCAGGACCTCAAGCTTTATTAGCATCCTCAAGAGACTGTTTTTGGCCAATATCAGGACGTTGTCTCGTACGCAAGGTGGTACACGAATGCATGAAGTGTCACAGATTTAGAGCAAATAATATAATTCGCATAAAGAATCACTGTTGGTTATCATATCTATTTGAATAATTTCATTACTGAGACATTGAATATAATGATGGCACACAGTTATTTTCACCATTTTGCTCTTCTGAAGCAATTTCGAGACTTTCCTGGAGTTTAGCAGCTAAGAAATGTGGATTGCTCTTTCTAGCAGGTAAGTCATTTTCTTCGATAACTGCCTTAAGGATGACTAAATTATCCATTGTGATACCCTCTGTTTTAATCACGGCAGTTTCAATTAATACATCCAAAGTGCAATTTGGCTTCATATTGGTTATACAGAATAACCAAACCCATTATATGAATTTTACAATATCTCGCTCATAATGTCCTCTTATGATCTTCTTTCTATGTTTTTGTCTTGTCTGAAATTGATTGTCAATTGATACTGTGGGCTTATCACCAAATGAACGCTGCTAGAAGAGAAATTGTCAGTTATTGTGACATATGACTCATGCTTTCGTTTATTTGGGTACCGACCGTCGGTGTTGCTTGTTATTCATTTGTTTTCGATTTTTTCGATTCTCGCAGTTAGTTTTACAGTTTTCTGATTTTTTTTGTCGTGCTATCAGATCGTTTGATTCTGCTTCAACTCATATAGCTTCTTGGGTGAATATTTCATTTTCACGTTTTAGTTTTTGAATATAATCACTTTTAATTTCTGCATCATCAGTTAGATCGTGAATTGCAGTCTCTAGTAAAGTTCTTACTTCTGTGAAGTTACGTTCAAATTCTTTGTCACAGTAGATAACCCAGATATACCCAGAAGTTTGATATTTTTTCTTCCTTTCGCGTGGCAGATCTTGTGATAAATTCCTAGATAATTGATACGTATTGAGTACGTTGAGAACTGGTTGGCATATTCTGAATCAAATGGTTGATATACGAACTGGCAAACGCATGAGGGGTACGCGTGCATAGATAGTTTCTTCAGATTAGGTGAGTATAATCTTTATTGAATAAAGACAAAGCCTGACAAACCTATTGTATGTATCGAAGCGCATGTTCTGATTTACTGAAAATCTAACAATTGAATATGTTCAAATCATACATTTGTTTAATTGTGAAAATATAAAAATTGTGGGACATAATGAGTGTTAGCTGAGAATAATCTTCTATTACCTATTTTTCACATGTATCTAGTTTTTCCACACTCTGTAGTTGAAGAGAAACTGAATGAAGTCACCGCATTCAGAGAAGTTGAAATACTTCTACAGAAGTTCTGCAGAAGAAGCACTCTGAACGCTCCAGGAATAATCACTTGCGATGTTTTGTTTTTTTCACTTTGTCATAGATCTCATCAGAAACGTGCGAAACAATGTTTCTCTTGTTGGTTTCCAAGGGATTCTGTATAGGTTTTGCATCACCATTTACCCGTGAATGCTTAGTCGTGGAGGAAATAAAGTTTTTGGGTATTTGAACCCCGTTGAAAAATCTTTGCCCAGGTGTAAATAGTCGTATTTCGGTTGTCTGTAACGTTTTAAAATGACTTCTCATAAAGCGACAGTTATATTTCTTGACTGGATTTTGTGATCCAAACCTATTGAAGTTTTTGTCATTCGTTGATAAATTTTTTATTCGTGTGTTTCTAGACCTTAAACTCGCAAAGTTTGTCTCTAGACTACTGATCATTTCATAGTGAAACAGCGCTGCGGAGATTTCTGCTCAAAACAGTCGTTTATTCATTGCAGATTCAGAAACATTTTTGTATCTATAAATATCACGTCTCTCAGCTCTCACCTCAAATTCCTTGAATCATTCTTGACTACTTTGCTCTTCACTGATGCTGAGAAAGGTGTATTGATCGTTTGGTTTCAATTAAAACGTGAAAAGATTTCGTATCTTGATGTTTTTCATTTCGGTAAAAAAATACGCTTGTTTAATGAATCACTTGAGAGATCTGAAATCATGGATGGTTCACCAGATCTTTCAAATTGGTCTTAAACTTGAGTATGGTAGTATTAGGTCAAATCTGAGTAGGTGATTTGACTCTCCACCGCAACCCACACGGGTTTATTGTAGGTCACACCTTTTCACACCCGACCAAATAAACCCAGCTTCTTGTCGAAGCCGATTCGTTTATATGGTGAGTATGGCCAGATGGAAAGAGTACAGCTCTGCCAAACTCTGAAAACATGATTCGGTCTGCAGCAGGGCAGGCACAAAGTATGTGCTCTGCTGTTCCATCATTTTCAAACAGAGGCGACACACACTCTCTTCCGACAGTCCGAGTCACTGCAAATGATGACTCAGACGACAGTGACCAGTGAGAAGGCCTGTTAGTCATCGTAGTTCATCCCTTCTGTAGCCCAACAACTGTTTGGTTTCGAGCTTTGGAAAGTGGATGAATGCCTTGGAGTAAGCCAATCCTGGAAGATTTTGCCAGAAGTTTATAAATGTTTGCTTGGCAAAGTCTGAAGGGATTACAATGACAGGTTCCGACGAAGCTGCTTGCAGCACCCTCCTTCGTAAGAGAGTCAGCAACCTCATTGCCTTTCAGACCAGTATGGCCAGGAATCCAGACCAGATACTATTTGTTAGGTCTTTCTATCAAGGAGAGTCATTTCTGGCAATTTGCTACCAATTTAGACGTTGCTCGATAGGAGCCAAGAGTTTCCTGTCCGCTTTACTGTCCGAGAATATTTTCATTGACTTGTGTATGAGGTTGGATTCTACGAATCTCTCCACATACAATTCAGTAGCATAGATTTTCGCCTAAAATATAGTCGCATAGGTCCCTAGGAAGGTTGATAACTCTGTCATGGGTTGGCAACTGAAAACACCTGCACCAGAACCTAAAGGTGTTTATGATCCATCTGTGATCCAATAACTATATGCTTTTAATATTTCCTTCTCCCGGAGGATCCATTCCTCTCTACTTGGCAATTGTATTGTATAAGGAAGTTTGTAGTTGAAAATTGTAGGCATAATGTCAGAGGTCATTTCCAGAATGCTGTTAATTTTAGTGTCAATCAGTCCATTGTACTCTGTATTAGATTTATTTGTGCAATTAGCAATGTGCACAATTTTATATGCAGCATGTTAGACCTGTTTCTTAGACTCCTTCCTATGATTCTTTGAGTAGTAGCTCGTATTTCCATTTTTGATCCATAGAATACTTCAAGAATAAGTGAGACTCAAAATTGAAAAAGTTGTCATTTTTTCCATATACCGCCTAATGGTGTTTCTTCAACTAAGGTCGATACAATGCTGACCATAGAACTCATGAAATTTGTTTTCATTAGTGTGATATAATGAAAATTCCACTAAATTATGTAACATACACAATGATATCATTGGAACTTCTAATTCTTGGTTCATAATAATTTTATAAGTTATACTAACTACTAACTGATTACTGTATCATAATTGTAGTGACTTGTTTTAAATTTTGTATCCAAATATTTGTGTGAAATTCGAAGAGAATCAATTAATTCACAGCACGCTTTTTTGTCAATTATTGGGAATGATTTTTTGTAAACAAGCGTGTTCGTCAATAATAATACACATTAATCATTATTGCGTTAAAAGAGAAGTTTCAGCGTCGATGTTTCAAGTATGGAAAGTTTACTTACGTTCGGTAGTGACAGATAATCATTTATACTTGGTAAAATTATCATTGTTCCTCAATATTCCATGATTGAATGAAGTGACATGGTAGCTTCTAGTCACGTGATTGAAATTGGTGAAATTTATACAATTGCTGTCATATGAATACATAAATATATTATTTTTATTTCTAAATTTTAACGTTGAGAAGAACTCAGTTTGATTTTTTTTTACTTCGTTTGTTAGGTTGTCTTATTATTTCATTAATTTTTGTTCAACTTAATATAATCTGTTATTTTGTTTTCTGTGTTCTGTGTCAAAGAACTGGCAAACAATGTTTTTTTTTTTACTTTCTTGTGCTGTCAGAATATGGGAATAAATAAAGGCGCTTAAGCGTTCATCAATTTATGTACAAAAAGCATGTCTTTTAATCTGCTCCAGTTTTTTTCCTAAAATAATAATTCAAGAATTTTACTAACAGCTCAGCATACTATCACATTCCCGTTTGTTGTCTTTTTGTATTGTCTTTATGTTGCTAATATTATCTCAAAACTATTTGTTTCTTCATTAATTTGTTTTGATTTTTTTTATCCATATTTTGGCATTTGTTCTTAGTATACCCGTGTTTTCATTTCTATGACACTATTTAATTTTTCTCTGCTCAAGGTTTCAATTTGTTCAATAATATTCAGACAATAGAAATCGAAACCTTAAACAATCCATAGACAGGCAAAGTTATGTTTCTCTTTGAATATTTTTTTTCATTATCATATTGTTGTGCGCGGTTAAGAAATAATATTACTCATGAACGATGATGAAGTTCAAGCTTCACTGAAAATTTTAGTCAACACAGAATGTACAAGTATAATTTACTCACAAGAGCTTCTTTCTCCGCCTTCAGAACAATGTTTTCAATTTCAGTCGGAGTAGGCGGCCTCACTGATTGTGGACGTCTCGTTGTTTGACCTTGAACCCATGGATTAACTTCGTTCTCTTCTGTTTCCGGGTCGTTTCTATGAGAAATAAATCTGAAACATTCAAGAATGGAAGTGATGATGAGGATTATTATTTAAGAGATGTCTTGAATACGAATAGGGTGGGTGACTTTTTCATTACACAATGATGGGCATAGTGTTAAAAAATTTGATTAGGGATAGAATTTTGAGAAAAAATTGTGAATTTTCAGATAAAAGTCAAAATTTCAAATGTAAAGTTGATATCAACATTTTCACAAATGGTCTGTGGGTTTTCAGGGGCTTGCATAAGATACTTCAATCTCAATCACCAACACATACAAATTGTCAATATTCTAATGGATGAAATTGAAATGATATAGAAAATTACATCCGAAAGTTGTTCATCAAACCATTCTGAAATTGAACATGTGGAACTTATGTTTTGATGATCACTCGATTACATTGAGCGAGTTATTTGTTCTGAATATCTATTAAAGAGAGACTCAATAAGACATATTTCAATTATCGGGTATTAGCAGTAATAGCCGTGATCTGCAGGTTTTTATACCAGCCATTCGTCTGCTACTGCGGCAGACATTATCAAAAGGCGATGCGGAAACGGTTGAAGTAATCTACCTTGCTGCGATGCACAAATTCAGTTTGCGATGCGATTTGATAATATCTGCCGCAGTAGCAGCAAACGACAGGTATAAAAACCACTGTTAATAAACCCGAAATCATCGGACAGTTCATTAGACACCCGTCGTTAAACCCTTCACATAAATCGGAATTTTGTTTCAGTAATCTTTCACAGCGGATTTTCCTGAATGATCAGAAATAAATATTTCCTCGGCTAATATCATCACAGATATTGCATTCCTCTCCATGAGGGTTCAGAAGGTTCCCGCTCTCGAAAGATAAAATTTGTTAACGATAGTTTCCGTAGAAAACTCAATATCAGCCAACGATGTCATTGTTTTCGGATCTTTTTTTTCATCAGGATAGAGATTTTAGAAGTTTCATAACTGTTGTATTATGAATGGAATTGATCCATGATGAAAACTCTCTGAAATTCTTCAAATGACAAAAAGGCACAATTTTGAGACTTCACTCTGTAGATAGGTAGTGAACCTTGTGAACATTTCAATAATACATTTAGCCTCATCTAGTAGTAACTGCAAGCAGGATGCATTTTTCTAAAGCATGATAGGTTCATGGTAAAATAATGAAAGAAAATCTAATCACTAAGATTATAACCAATTCATGATTCAAAAGAGGGAACATATCATTAACATCTACTTGAGAAATAAAAATCATTTTGAATGAATAGAAAAGCAAATTTTGACGATTTCAACACAGAACTAGAAGTATGATGATATAATGAAGATGTTCTATTGGAAAGCGGAATTATTGAATTTGTGCAAGGTAATAATCATGTTAAGTTTAGTTTTGTTCATTACCGAAAATTTTGTTCGATTATTCTAATAAACACTCTTGAAATACGTTTAGAAATGAACACTTTTCATCTGACAGATTTGAGACCTTCAAAACATTATCATTTCCTTAAAATGTTGGAGAGCCTAAAACAGCAGAGTGAGTCATAAAAAGAGATAGGTGTTTTCTAACACGCCAAAACAATTAACTTGAAAAAAAATGAATAAATATAATACTAGCAATAAAAATTTGCAGGGATGGTCAGAAAACTTACAAACAATTTTTATAGATATAGAATCAGATCAGTCGAGGAATAAGCCAGAATAGTCAGGTGTCAGAATTTGAGAATAATTGATATTTTCACTTGATTTGACGTATCATTAGTTCCTTTGGTGTCTACTAAATTTCAATCAGAATAGTCACTGAAATATCCATGAGTCTTGAAGTATATACAAAAGTAATTCTATTGAGTGAAACAAGTTTCAAAACAAGAAAATAATTCTGATATATTTTGCCGTTCTGAAGCAAATATACTTGAAATGAAAGAATAGTTTTACACAACGACCACCAGCGCTGTCTGATGTTGAATCATGTGAAATAAGATATTTCAAAGAATATTCTAAAATCTAAAAGCATCTAAGGTTGCAGCTAGTTATCTACCCACCACTAATTTTCACTACATTCTTACATTTTCGTTGCGATCCTCAATACTTCTTGAATAATATTTACAAGAAATTTCATGGATCGTGCTGTCATTGTTCTCAGAAGCACTCGACATAAGCTGTAAAAAATCATGTTCATATTCAAGTCATGAATGCAACCAAATGCAATCAATAAAACATTGTTTGGAAGAATGAAAAGCCCAAACTTTCTTGTCACAGAGAGAAACGGTTGTTTCAAATATCTTCTCTTTTTAAAGAATACTTTCAGAAAGAGTATGAAGTATTATTTCAACTTATTGAAATTGAATGTTTGTTGATCATATCAAAGAACGAAATCTCCCATTTTGTCAAAACGCCTAAGTAGGTAAAGAATTAAAAGCGTCATTTTATAAATGATACTTTTTTTCATGCTATGAACTGCGTTCAAACTCTCACCGATCACTTACTGAAATTAAAAAGCGGAAAATATAGTAACGTTTTTACACCATTGTAATCTGAATTGTTATTTATGGAACAGATTATATTTTAATGACGCACAAAAGACAAAGAAGAAAACGTAGTGAGTTTAAAACCTTAATGTTTCGCTTATTTTTTTTCTTCAGATGTGACAAATATAGTTCAATCAATAATTTCTGCGTCACTGCGCAAACTAGTCTAACAAAACCCTGAAAGAGGCGTTAGATTCATATTTCTTCACAATTTAGTTTCATGAATTGAATAAACTATACATTTTGATCTTGTTGATATTCATTCTATTCATTTCCGCATTGCATTGCATTGTGATGCTATGAACGGAGAAATTCTTATTTAGTTACATCCAGATATTTCAATAATTCAGTTTTCATTTATCGGTATTGAAGTTGATTCTTGTGATGCACTGTTTGGAACCTTTGGTGTAGTAATGAATATTACTGGAGTTTTTTCCCAACACCAAACCGTAATTTAAACACCTCGACACGTGTTTTGATCACCAAGTGATCATCTAACTGATTTGATTTTCCTCTTGAACTCCAGTAATACTCATTGAAGTTTATAGTATTTGGGCTATATTTCCGTGAGTATGTAAATAGTCCTCGCCCTTTTAACTTTCGGATGTGGCAAGATATCAGAGTCGGACAAAATTATCATCAAAAGAAATCATTTTGAGTACTTTTCTCATGAAGAAACCAATAGTTTGACATCACATTTTTTTTCAAACGGAAAAAATGTTTTGCTACATTTCATACGGAAGGTACCTATTTCAATTCTCTATTCTCAATGACCCTCACATTTTTGAATTTCGATAACAGATTGCGGGGTTAGGATGCTTGAATTTGGAACCAGAAATTCCGTAACCCTATGTAGTTGAGATTTTTCAGAATGAATATTCAATGGAAGGAGAAATAAATTATTACAGAAATGTTAATTTCGAAGACATGAAACGACAGCATTTCAGTTTCACTTCGTTATTTTTCACTATATTTGTGAAAAATTATTTGAACAAATTTTCAAAATGTTCTCCATGAACCTCTTGACAGTAAAACAGTGTATTTTAGAAATCAGTTGTAACATTTAGGAATATTTCTGAGGTAATGCTATCACAAGTTTTGGTAATACTGTCGCTGAGTTGCCATATTGTTCCAGAATATGTAACATACATTTTGGATTTGATGTAGGTCCAAAGGGAAAAATTGAGAAGAGTCAAACAAGCAGGCTATTCCAACGGACTGCGCCTACCACTCCATATGCAACGGATGCAACCAATTCCTTGCAGGCCCAAAAAATATGGGGGCGACTATTGACTTCCGCATTCTATGTTATCATTGAAACAGTATCATCTGAGTCCATATTCAACTAATAAAACTGCGGCTATGGTTTTGGATTATGCGTGTTTGGACGGACTTTTGTTCGTCATAAAAAGTGTCAATATTTTCCTGAGATTTCTGTAAATCTCAAATGGAATGCACTATTTTTTGCTGAATAAAGGGTGTTTGCTGATTGCGGGTGTTTTCTGAGGGCGTGTTCAGGAACTGATTTCATAAAAAAAGTTCATATGAACATAGGTCGGTTATATAAACCTAGGTCTACTGTGAAAGAGCACGTATCTCGTCGGCGGTCGATGTCGATGCTTGACTCTCCAACTGACCACCTTAGGTTATCTCGTTTCTTTGATATTCGAAGAGGAAGTTCTCTGAGAATCCCATAGATGGCATCTTCGAAAGGGGAGATGTCATCGCCTTCACCAACTTAGGCTTGTTGTGTTGGGAAATGCATTTGTGGCTCAGCCTAGCACCACTGATGATGTCGGGTTGAAACAGCACTGTCTGATGTTGAATCATGAATGCGTTATGTTTTGGCTCCGTATATCTCTGACGATTTTGTAGATGACGTATTTGTAAGAGGGCATGTCATCGCTCCTACTCACTTATGCATGTATTTCAAAGACAGTAGAGTCAGCACTGATGAGACCTATGGCGGGTTGAAACAGTTGTGAAATCATATGTACGTTGTATTTGGGCTCTGGTTTACAATAAATTACTACGCTGTTGTCAAAATTATAGCCATGATCCTATTTTTAACTATTCGTTAATGAAACAGATATGTAAAGCCTACCTGAAGCACAGATGATTGTTTCGAACTGGTATTTACTATTGAATCTGATATTAATTACCTTGTTGAAAATTGTTATTCAGCACTTTTGAATTTTGAAGGGATTTTACAATCAGTTCAACTCAAATCAGTGGTAGATACGATCACCTATGATTCTAAAAATTCTTTTTTATATTACAATTTCCCCAGGAGAATAAAAGCAATAAAAAATGAAAATGAAGATAATTCCACATATGTTTTCTTGTGGCACTGAGTGTCAAAAATAATGTATCAATGATAACTTTTTCACAATAATATTCATTTAAATCGGAGTAACATTTAAAAATAAATTATATTTCAGAGACATTGAGCAGAATGAATATATTTTAAAGATGAGTCCATAAAACGTAATTAATTGAAGAATAATAATTAAAACTCTCAAAATCACTTTTATTATCAAACTGAACCAATAGATTCAGGTGACGTTTATTTTCATTTGCTTATCACCGCTTTCAGATAGTTGAAATTCCGCATGGTTTCTGAATATTTAACACCCTCGGAAAAACGTTTGTGATTTCATTCGGAACATTAGGTCCAATTTGAGGGTTATAGTGAGTTCAAATCATTAGACTGTAATTCATCACTTTGTTTTGCCTTTCCTGTTTCCACAATGAATGTTCAGGTTGTCGCTTCAGGAAGATATTTTATTAGTTTTTATCAAAAAAAGAATCTATACAGTGTGTGAAAGCCAAATATGGAATAAATTCATTATTTCGGTTACTGTACATATTAAAAAAAAATCCGAAACACGTCAAATTCAAATTGTATGTTGACATACTTCAACGGAAAAATGCTACTTCTACCTTCATTCCCCTTCGAGTGACAGGTACAACGCCCTATTTCTTAAATGGGAAGTATAGGTTTGTAATAAATCGTTTGGAAGGTCTCTTCATTTTCTATTCAAAAATGTTATCGCTTTCAAGTTTATTGTAACAATTAAGGCTTTTGCACACTGTATGTATGTTCTCATTCCCTAAAATAGGGTGGTGATTTTTTTTTCTCTGAGTTGAAGTTTATTTTTTCTGAATATTATTAAAATNGGACAATAAATGTTTTTTTGTATTGTGAAATTTATTAGTGGAAACTTCATCAGGTTTGACTTGTTAGTATCCCAATCTACAAATGAATTAATAAATAGATACTCACTCATTTTTAGGATACAAATCTGGTTCATCATAAGGATCGTTATATTTCTTTCGGTCAAAATAGTGTGAATTTGGTAGCCCTTCAAGATGAGGTGCAGCGACTTCTACATATCCACCATGTCCATATGAGGGATGATGTTTGTGTCCAATCTGGTGAACATGTGAAATCTGATGTTTGTGAATATGATGTTTTGCTCCATACGGTGTATAGGCACAAAGTTTGAAGAGGTGATGAAGCGCAGGAAATAGGAACAGCAAAACTTTCAAGATGAGCTTCTTTGCAGCTGCCACACCGATTATGGCAGGAAGAACAAAAAGAATCTTGACTGCTAGCAGTTTGATGACTAGAAGAATGGCAAGGAGGGCGAAAAGGAGCCTTTCACTGATGAATTTTTCTGTGAAAAAAATATGCGTTAATATAATGGAAAATCTCTACTAGATGAGGAATAATGGAATACATTTTTCTATTAGGATCTTTCAAAATTTTTGTTCGTTTCAATGTCATGTGTTTTTGTAACCACACATCTGAATGAATATTTATTCAACTGTGTCGCGATATGAACTGATTGTTAGAGAATTTTTTAGTCTATACATTGTTATTGTCATTTTTTCCAAATTTCAATTTTTCTCTCTTTTCAGCTTATTACTATATGATGACGTTGGGCGATTTTCAGCTGATTTTTATATTCCAATTGAAATTGAAGCAAATCGCTGTCGAAACAGCCAGAAAATTCAACCAGGCATTTGGTAATAATAGTGTTAATGAACGTACTGCCTTGTTCGACGTTGGTTCGCAAAATTTCCTTCCAGATATTTCAGCCTCGAAGATGAATCCCTAATTGGTCAACCTATAGTAATCCAGGACGAGAGTGTAAGGACTCTGGTGGAGACTGATCCATCACAAACGGTGCGTGGGATGGCGTTAGAACTGGGCACAGCTCACATGCGGTTATTGATGATTTAAAACGTATTGGAAAGGTCAAAAAGCTCGAAAAGTGGGTGTCCCACGATTTGAACAATCGATAGTAATTGTCACGTTTCGAGGTCTTTTTTTCTTTACTTTTTCAGATTCAAGAATTTACTTTAGTACTAATTGGGGGGCGCATTCTATAATTTGGAAACATTTTTCAGTACATGAATCACTGATAGTGTATTCTGTCGTACTCTGTGTGTATTGTATATTTTACCTCAATATCAAAATTGTAGTGTACTCTGTCTGTACTTGTACTTATTAACATTTAACTTTTCACNGTTGTTGCCACGCCGGATATCATTATGAAACGGATTATGGTCATATAAGTGTATTGTTAGAGTACGGGTGTAGAAAAAATGCTTTAGGCAACCAACGTATATGGTGATTTTTATGCAGACTTTAAAAAAAACGAATAATATGTAGTGAATTGTTTTGTTACATCTCTAGAGTATTGACCACCATTTTTCTTGGTTTCACATGGGTAGAATCGCTGCTCCGACTTCGCAAGGTAATAATAATAAATTATGCACACCAACGTTCTTCTGGAATCAATAACTGAAAACTGTATAGTTGTGTTTATTGCGTTCAGACAGACGGACACGGTATTTAATAATATCTTGTCAAGTATTTCTCTACAGAATCAAAATAAGGCTGAAAAGTGAAAGTTATGAGAAATAAAGTGAAAATGAATAAAAAAAAATGTTTAAAATTTGTTTTTCTGTTAACCAACTATCGCACCCCTACGAACGACAACCCTCAGAAGTCGAAACTTGTGCGAGCTAAGATTTAACGAGATCTTACTTTCAGCCGGATTGACTGACTGAACAAAGCACCCACGTTGAACCGCCCGGCTACCGACCGTTAAATCAACAAAAAGTTTAACTGGAATCAATGTTTTGATTCAAAATCCCTGTTTAGAAATTTATTATAAACTCAGATTATGAAAAAAATCAGCAATAAAATAGGTGTAGTTTATGAAAAAATAATGAGTACTGAAGCTTATCATAATTCGACGAAAATTAAAGTTCAATAATGCAAGTGAAATTGCTTTATGCTCGTCATAGGATTGAATAAAAAATGTCTACTTCAGAGGAAAAAATTAGAGGAAATTGTATTTATATGAGAAGATGACGCAAGTAATTGTGTAGAAAACAACACTTTTGAATAAATGCATTAAGGTGAAAGAGTGCAACAATTTACTGAGACTTGATAAATGAACAGATATTTTTTTGGTAACTATCGAGAGAGAAAGAGAGTGTAACGAATATTTTGCACTGAAATTTCTATTTATTCTGAAGAAATATTTTGATTCTATTCTGATATCTATCCTCTCCCTTCCACGTTTTGTGGATCGACGAGGCTATATTTTTCATCCTATACAGCTGTAATAGCTCTCAGAATAAGAAATTGAGCTCCTGAAACTCCAAAGTGTATGATCGGATGCCTAGTATTCCGTGAAACAAATGTGTGAGGAAGTATTATGGATGAAAAAGGCATAAATTATGGCAGCTGTGTAATGGTGCTTTCATCTATAATACAAAACATGCCAAATAAAACGCTTCGAAAATATTCAGGAGTAAAGTTATTGGGTGTAACCCAGAGCAATAATGGTTGACAAAACAGATCGGAAATGATTATTTCTGTTAATAATTTATACACTGGTGAACTACATGCTATTGTCCGTGCTGTCCTATTCATCCACTCAACTGTAGGTGAAAACCGCAAATTTTAAAATTTTACTGTTTCAATAAGCTCTCTATGAAGTATATAAAAAATGTATCTCGTCAATTCATCAGTAGCTGATGTGAAGTAAGAATGCTCACTTGGCATAGCGGAGGAAAACAGTCACCAAATTCAAATGTATCACATTACATACAGAAAATCTAGCTAACGAGGAAGCTGGCAGAAATGGAAAAGAAACTCTGAGCAGTAATAACTTTGAAAAAGTTCATCGAGTAACTGTAAATGATTCATAAAATGCGACTGAAGAAGATGTGTCACCTTGGTGGTGAAATATGTAGGGTGAATCATCCTCAAACCATCATGGAGTGAAGTCATCAGTTAAACCGTGGAAGAATTTACCAAAAAGACGTAGGGTTCAAATAATGTTCACACGTCTACGTCTTGGTTGAACTCGATCAACACAATTCTCAAGAATACAGACCAAGCAATGTGCTAAACCTGTAAAGAAGTACTTAGTGTTAGTATGGAAAAGAAACTGAGCAGTAATAACTTTGAAAAAGTTCATCGAGTAACTGTAAATGATTCATAAAATGCGACTGAAGAAGATGTGTCACCTTGTTGGTGAAATATGTAGGGTGAATCATCCTCAAACCATCATAGAGTGAAGTTATCAGTTAAACCGTGGAAGAATTTACCAAAAAGACGTAGGGTTCAAATAATGTTCACACGTCTACGTCTTGGTTGAACTCGATCAACCCAATTCTCAAGAATACAGACCAAGCAATGTGCTAAACCTGTAAAGAAGTACTTAGTGTTAGGACATCCTGACAAAATGTCCAAGTTTTGCCTTTCGAAGAAATATTCATCATCTGCAGAGAACTATTTTGGGACTGATTCGTGAAACTAATGATGTTCTTGTTTATAGAAACTATTCGTATCAATAACAATTTGTGAATATACATCACTATTGTTCGTTAATGAACAAAATGGTTGATAAGATTGAATAAATAAATGAAAATACATAACCCCCAGAGTATCAGAAATTCCATTGAAGATTAGTATAAGAAAATAATTGGCATACATGTCATTTTGAATTTTTGAATCATTTTATATTTAAAATTTCATCATCAAAAATAGTTATTCAATAATCAAGATGGTCAAAATACAAAAGCATTCAGTTTTCATTACATGAATTTTCATTTGAAAATTTTAGTCTTTTCATGTTATTGAATTTTAATAACAATATTAAGATTTTTTTGAAAAACGCACGTTCAATACGGCGCTACTTTGGAGATAATGTGTCTAAAATAAAGCATCGTGGAGAATTAGAAAAACCAGGAACATGTTTCGCTATACAATAGTTTTCTCAAGCAGGATTGGTTTAATTATTCTCAGATTGAAACATTTTATATTCGAAAAACACTACTATCATCTACGGTCCGATCAGAAAATTAATTATCAAGCAGGTGGATATAGGTGATACCTATTCAATAGTAAAACTTAAGTGGAAAAAACAAATTATTTCTTAATAAATATTACATATTGTTTATTCTAAGGCGATAGGGCGATTATCTGGTGAAAACATTGATCATTCATCAGTTATTGGGAATTTTTTGTACTCATTGTTTTCCGTTCCAGAAAGACCTTTCTTCCGGAAATGAAAAGTTTTGAATTCATGTCCTTCTGTGAGGAGTACCATGTGTTGATTTTTTTCATTCTGGAAACTGTTTTTAAATTCTTTGAAGCGTGCTTCACATTTTCTGAGAGTTTGACATATGTTAACCTACTAGACAATCCAAACACTCCTGATATATCTATCACCCAACTCTTGTCTTTGTTATTTTCAATTGGCATGCTCAAGTAATTATTGGTTTTGAACGCTAGTAAATTAGAAATATTCGAAGTAGGTTGACCCAAATATGTTTAAGTTCGATAATTTTTTTCATCGTCTCCTGGAATCCGGAGAATCTCCTTCACAGTTTCATTGTACTGCTTTTTGAATGGTAAATAATCTATGAGACTGCCATTATAACTATTGTTGATCGCAATCTGTTTTATCAGATTCAAATAGTTACTATATTAATAATTGCATATTGAGAACAACAAAGACAAAAGTTGGGAGTCTGAGAGATTAGAAGTGTATAAATTGTGTTTTGATCAATGTCCGATGTTTAACATGGGACAAACTAGAAGAACATTTGCAGTACACATGAAAAAACATAAAAACAACTCATGCTACTCACATTCTCAGAGAGTGACATAAGTTCAATCATGAATTTAAAACTCCCAATGGATATGTTATATTCATTAGTGAAATTATGAAACAACGATGAAAATAAAAACAACAATAAAAATTAACTGGCACTCCGGGGCGACTTCATTGATTCCACTGGCGCATTTGATTCTTCAGCTACAGGAAAACCCGGAAAAACCTGTAGCATCACATTATCTGAAGATCTTGATCTGCCAATGTCCTTTCTCTCATAAAACAAAATGTAGGGTGTCTCCAGAGGCTTCAATATTTATTTATTGTTGATGTAGTTTTTACCTAATTTTCACTAATTAATAAGTATTTTCACCTTTTCCGCCTATATTCACCTCTTTTCACTACTTAAAAAAAATCTTCTCAGGTAGGTAGTTCAAATTTGATTTGAATTTATTATTCGATTGGAATGTAGAACATAGTAATATTTTCAGGAAATAAAATGTCTAGAAGTGGTTACTCAAATCCTGCTAGA